ACAGACACAGACACAGACACAGACACAGACACAGACACAGACACAGAGACAGACAGACAGATCGATACTTGTAAATAGATTTTGTTGGAATGCCAACTGTTCAACCGGTACACCAGGTTCATAAAATGATATAAAATAGAGCAGGACCCCAACGACCGATAGGGTTTAGTTTAGTGTGGTGTAGTCTAGTAGTGACCTCCTCTTCCTTTTGCCATCGGCTTGGATGGAATGTGGTCCTCTCTGCGCAGCCGGTCCGAAAAAGACTCCAAAAACAGACCTTCCAACCAAAAGCCCCAAGAGATCCGGTCCTCTCTGAGCAGATGGGCTTCCGCGATGGCGCGCTCGTTCTCGCGCAGGGTCAGCTCGCTCCGCGCGAGCTCCTGGCGAAGGCTCTCTGCCTCGTGCAGAGTCTGCGAGTGCCATTCCATCAGTCGAGCTTCCAGCGAGTGTAAGCTCTCGGTCACCGCCGGGGTCTCAGGACTCCATCCGAGGGATTGAAAGATGTAGCCTGGTCCAGTGGAGTTGACTAGGTGACGACCGTCGGCACCAAAAGTAGGAAAGTAGGAAAGGACCCAGCTAAGCTGTCAGAGGCTAACTGTACAAGTAGTACTGCAGAGTAGAAGGTGGCTTTGTTTTGCGGGAGGAGCAAGGGGACATCACCGAAGAAAAAACAGAGTAGTGTAACGAAATGTGTCAAAATATACCTGGACCCTCCAAGGGGTGTCCAATGGACTACCCCACACTACCTCCTTGGAGGGTCCTGGTAGTATGTCGTGTTGGTGAGGCAAATGTTGCTTGTTCCCGGGATCTCTGAGAAGGAGAGTGGAGCTGAAATGTAGTTTTCTTCATCAAGACCACACAAGGAGAGTGTTTCTACTGTCTTGACACAACACTGTGGGCAGCAAAGCTCTGGATGTCCCTGCTGGATTTGACGGGATAGCAAGTAAACCCATCAAGGTGCCGCATCCTACTTCAAAATCTTCAAACACCCCCTCAGATGTTGAAACAAGTCGCCATTCATGCTCTGCATCTCTTGCGAGATAGTGCTGAAGATATTGTCCTGCAATGCACCTTGCTGCTCAGAGGAGTTCTCAAAGGTCTTGAAGACGCTGTGTTGGAGTTCCAAAAGCGTCCGGCAGTCCTGCTGCACCTGGCGAGCGCGTGTCTCCCAGGGGTTGGAGGAAGCTGCAAGCTCCAGCTCCTAACTTCAAGACACACACTCACACACAAAAAAAGAAAACAAAACAAGGCACTTCCTCCAGCTTTTCGCATTCCCACCTCCTTCTGAACCTCCTCCAATTTCTCCACTTGATCCGATCGACGTTGGGTCTCCTTCAACTGCTGCTCCATGGATCGGCCCATGCTTTCCAAACGATGCCAAATCTTGCGTTGAGTGGCCGCAAGGCTTTCTTGCACCTGACCAACAAGACAAACAAACACCCACCTTGCCACACTGAACAACCAAACGGGGAAGAGGTCGAGTGGGTCGAGTGACGGGGGAACATAAGAAGAAAGGGTGGAATGACATAACAATGACTGGATTCGGGAACCATCCATGTGCAAATCCCCACGTCACTAAACCATCCATTAATCCAAGTGGTTGCCCCGGAGCTCACCTCTCCATGCTTCTCAAGTTGACAGTGGAGCCAGGCAGACCGTTCTTCCGCATCCTTGCTTAAGCTAGCCAGAACGCGATCTGCAACTCCTTTGGCAATGGTATCGATGGTGGAGGTGAACTCGCTTCGAAAATCCCTCATCTCACACACTGCCTCTGACAAGCGGTCCATGGTCGAATGAAAGTCCTGAAATGTTTCGACTGCGGAACACCTTTGCAAGAACTCGGCCACTGAGTTGTTTAAGCTTTGTAGGGTCTTCACATGTTGCTGCATCTGCGCTGTGGCTCTCAAATCCGTTCTTCTCCAATCATCCAAACGGGAAAAGCAGGTCGATGCATTCGCGCTCTGGAAAACCGCTTGTAGGGATCGAATGCAATCAGAAGCTTCGGCCAAAAAACTGCTCCGCATGAGTTTCTCGTCTTCTCTGTTCGAGGACAGCCGACTCTTGGGAGGGGTGATGGTCGGCGGAGTAGACATCATTGACCTCTCTGTGGCCTTCTCCAAGTCGTACGATGCATCATCGCCCAATTTCACGGCCGTGTCCTGCAAGTAGCGACCCTCCATCCGGACGGAGGGACGAGCCTGGTCGTTGGGCGAGGGCGGAAGCCTCACAGGCACATCCATTGGTCCGGCGGGGGCACAGAGAGCCAGCGATCCTCGCCCCAAGCTGAAAAAGAGAGCCGGCGATCGGAGAGCCAGCGATCGCCCCAAGCAGGAGTCCAAGCGATCCCAACGGTTTCGACATGTTTGGACTCCGCGTTTTGCGTTTTCTTTCGAGTAAACAACACGTCTTAGACAAGTACATCACGTCTTAGCCAAGAGACGGACAGAACCTGGTGGTGCTAAGTGCAAGTCTTTCAAAAGCAATCTCTATGCAAAGGCCGCCATGAATCGTTTTTTCTGACGATCAAGATCACTTCAAACACTTGCAGGTCGCCACCAAGTGTTACGCTTTCAAGGACGCCACCCCCGATGGAGGTCCCCGACGTCCGCTCCATCACGCCTCGCCGTCACTCGCATCACTCGGACCCCCATCTTTTGGCCGGCCAAGTCCTAGCCGGGACCCCTTCAGAAGCGATGAGGCTTCACCGCACCACGCAGGGCCTCGCGAGAGGAGAGGAAAAAAACACCGCGAGAGGAGATCGGGGCAGGTGCGCGGGGGTCGGTAAGGGTCGGAGACATGTTCGGGACATCAAGGATGATCATCATTGATCCTAGGAGTTCCATGGAACTCCTGCCTATTATGCACAAGACCACGTGCATTCGTGTCCTGCAGTGCCGCACGCGTCGCTTCTTTCAGGCTCGGATCCACACCGCAGCTCTCCACCCCCCAACCCCCTCATCGCCATCCTCCCTGTTCACTGAGTTTCACCACGGTGCTTTGGAGAAGCACGGCATTCAGATCAATACCACCCAGCGAGGCCAGCGCGTCCTGACGCGCTTCGTCTCCGAAACGCAGACTGGAGCGGCAGATCCGAAGCGGGCCGGATCGTTCGGCGAACGACCAGCGGCCAGAGCAAAAGGGCACCACGTGCAGCTTGGATCTATGAGAGTGAATGAAAGTGTTAAGTTGTCTGCATCAGTCTGTTTGGGTTTGGAGTGAAGAACTTGGAAACCTGTTGTTTGATATGATGATCTTACACGTCTTTGGACCACGCCTCCCCCAAAAACGCTGCTCAAAGGGCAGCGACATGTGAGAACATGAGTTGCTAAGAGTTTTTACAACTGGCCACGATAGAGTTTTTACAGAAACCTTTGGACAACAAATATTAATAACTGGGGCCAGTTCTTCACATGTGAAAGACTCCCTCCCTGCATGCCTCTCGAAGACCGGTGTTCATGAAGCATCCCATGTTTTTTCTTCTTGCAGCATACTGTGAACCAACAACATGTCGTGTCCGTGTCCCAAAAACTCGGGATTCCCATGATTCCCTCAGATCCGAATCCAGGTTGGTCACTCGACCCCGCGACTCGAACCTTCAGGCCCTGGATCTCTTCCTGCGACTGCTTCCACCGGAAGAAATGGCGGTCCAAACGGAGCGGAGCGGAGCTGGCGGTTTCTCGGTGCCAGCACAATGCCCCAAACTGTGGGTGGGGCCCCAAACGGTCAACTGTAGGACTCACTCCTTTTTTTTTGCGGCAAGCAATCTCAAACAGTTTTAAACAGAACAAGAAAAAGGGTCAATCTGCGACCGAAGCGCACTCACACACACAGACACACAGACACACATGAGAATGCCCAATATGAAAGCGCCAGTATGAGAGAGCACACACACACACGAGAAAACAAATGCGGGCACACACACTTAGGAAATGCGCACTGACACGATTGCAGCTTGCCACACGCCAGCCCAAGTAAAAAACCTAAGGAAACCGGAGGAGCAAGTGAGCATGAACTCTCTCTGCAAGCCCTCAATGCCAATGCCAATTCCAAGATTCCGAGAGTCGAGCGGTCGACAAGGATGACGAAACGTGCAAAGTCTGCCGACCTACCTCCACCTAAGTAGCCTGAGGTTAGAATGGGATGTGATTACAAACATCACAACCAAGCAGGTACGTCCAGAAGGCGTCCCTTCCGGATATCAGCCACATTGCAGCCCTCTTCGTTGGCCAATCAACTGCAATGTGGGATTGCCCCCCTGCTTTCAAGCTGATCAAAAACAACAAAAACAAACAAAATCAACGGATTCCCTGTGATTCCGGGGGGTTCACACACACGCCTCCCAAAAGGGGAGGCATGGAAAACTAAGGTTTAGACTATGTGCATGCGCACGCGCGCGCAAGAAGACAAACGAATGAGGACATGACAGGAAGACAAGACAGACAAGGTGTATGTGGTTGCGATGAAAAGGAGCCAAGTGACCAGGAACAACCAGATGAGCCAAACCTCCTTGTAACAACTTGGACGACCTCAGACCTGGGTTTCGTGTACCGGCGCACGTGCGCACGAAGGGTCGGACCGGCGCGCGCGCAAAAGAGAAAAAGGATGAGACGACGAAGCATGAAGCCAGAAAGACATGAAAAGAAAGAGGAAAGAAAGTGTATGTGAAGGGAAAAGGATGAAAAGGAGAACCAAGTGGAGGGGCCAAAAACCGATGAAACCAAACTTCATTAAAGCGACCTGGGTAGACCTAGCCTGGCTTGAATGTGTACGCTATGTGTGCACGCAAGGCTGCAACTGACCCCGCTCTGGTCACCTTGCGCCATGCCAAGATGGCGGGCAGCTTGGACCGCTCTGGTCACCTAACGGCTTGCTCGAAAGCTGCCTGCTCAAATTCAATGGTTCGGCAATTCTTGGCAAATAACTTTAACGTAAGCCTCCTGCTGGGGACACTCCTCGGGTACACCCTGGGCCCTCACTAAGGAGAGTCACACTTAGGAAAGGCGTACTGACACGATTGCGGTTTGCCACACGCAGCCTAAGTAAAAAACCTAAGGAAACCAGGGGAGTAAGTGAGCATGAACTCTCTCTGCAAACCTTCAATGCCAATGCCAATGCCAATTCCAAGATTCCGAGAGTCGAGCGGTCGACAAGCACGACGAAACTCCACCTAAGCAGCCTGAGGTTAGAATGGGATGTGACTACAAACATCACAACCAAGCAGGTACGTCCAGAAGGCTTCCCTTCCAGATATCAGCCACATTGCAATGTGGTTGCCCCCCTGCTTTCAAGCTGATCAAAAGCAAAAACAAAAAAGAGCACGGATTCCCCGTGATTCCAAGCGGTTCACACACACACAAAAGAGCACACGTGTGGCAGCACAGGTGAGAGCACACACAAGCACGCATGAGAGCACACATGATGAGCACACCGATCAGAGCGCACGAAGAATAGAGCACACGTGTGAGAGTATTTGCACTTCAAGGATCACAAAAAGCTGCCTGCGGCGAAATCTGCACTTCAAGGTTCACAAAGCTGTGCCTGCCACGGAGCTTGCATCCCGAGGTTCAAAAAGTGTTGCTTCTGCACTTCCTGCATCTTCCTGCCACAAAATCTGGGCAGTGAAGCTCACAAGCCTGCTGTGAAGCCTGCGCGAGGTTTACGAGTGCATGCGCCAGCCACAAAACCTGCACTTGGCATCCACAATGTGCTGTGCCTGCCACGAACTCTACATACACATCAAGGTTCAAGTCGCGCAGCCCTGCCAGTGCGTTTCTCAACAAAAGCATTTGCAAACACAAGTTCCAAATCCCGAATTCTGAAGAGTCGACTTCAGACCACCAAAACACGGATACCCGTGTGCGCCATGAAAAGTGACCACCAAGTCCGAAAATGTGCACGGCACCACGAGTGCGCAGTCAAGAAGCAGACCTCTCCCGGACCACCTTTCGTGCGAGACTGTCCTTCAAAATGGAATCTAAATAGCATCGATTTTGGCCCCCCCATGCCGGTGGGGCGCCCCCACGATCAAAAGGTGGTTTTCCACTTCCATGATGAATTCTCCATGTTGGAGAGTACTTGTCCAAGTAGAAAACGCCAGGAAGAGCACATGCATGATCGGAGGGGAGCGATAGGAGGTCACATCTGAGACATCCAACAAGTGCTCTGTCTACGTCGTCCAACGCGTTGAACGCGCGCTTTTTTTTCGCAGCACGTTGCCTCGCGCTTGGCAGCACGCTCGGCGTAGGACATGCCCCCGTCTGCACACTGCTTCTGCAGACTCTCCTGGCAAAACACCATGTCGGGGTATTTATTTAATCATATTTAATGCCTATCTGGTGTTTAACATACATAGAGAGAGGGTGTACGTGTGTGTGTGCACGACCCCAAACCATGAAGTGACGTTTCGCAATTCTCAATTCTCCCCAGATGGGCCCCTTGGCCCAGCTCAATCAACCGATTCTTGGAACCACGACCACGACTCGACTCGACTGGCCCGGTCATCGCCCCCCGGCATGCGGTTGGCCAAAAGCCAACACGTTAGAAGAGAAGCTCGAAGTTCTAATATCACCGGGAACTGATAAACACCTAAACACCATCCAAAAGTTGCAGAACTGATTTGGACCTGCAAAGTATCCATTTTGCCTGCGGATTTCCACCCTCTGCACTGTCGCCATCTGTTTCTGGCCATCCACTGACCTCTTCCATCACAAGGTTCCCCTGCCTTGTAACTCTCCACAGCTGCCAACTCCTCCTGGGCAAGTCAACCCACCGGTGAGGAGTTTCTGCAGCTTGGCCTTTGTTGGGGCTCCGAGATCCACCCAACTGCTCCGCCGTCCAACCGCCGTCGCCAGCGCCGCCAGCGCCGCAACGAGATCTCGCCTTGTTGGCATCTTTGTCAGACGTGAGGTCGACGACCTGAGGTTCGCTGCAGCGAACCACGATCGACTGGGAGAAATGGACCAAAGTTGCTGCTTGATGAGTACTTTCCACTTTGAAACAGAAGTACATCCTGTGGTCCCATGCCACGTGTCACAAATATGGACCCTCCCACCCCCGAGGACTCGCCGAGGACCCCAACCGCTTTGTCCAGGCTCTGAGCTGTCTTCCTTAGAGCACTGTTACAGAAAACCCCTCCGAAATGGCGGGTCAAGTTGTGCAAATCTGCTTAAGTGTACATGGTATGCAGTGCGCCTTTGACTCGGAGTACCTTAAAAGGCCCAAGGGCCCGACGGGGGGTAGACCTCTTTCCCATGTTCGACCCCATAAGGGGATCCCAGGGGGTGGAACATGGGAAGTCCTCCCTATTGGAGGAGAGCGGTGCATGATCCACTCACCTCCTGGGTCGAACACTACCCCCGTTTCCTCCAAAAACTCCTGGGTCGGTTGGTGGTCAGAGACCCGTGAGGTCGGATTAATTGAGGCCATGCCCCCTGCAGCCCCTGCATGTTTGCTTTTTTGTGGGGCCACTGCCGGCACTGCCGGCACCAGTGGGAGGCAACTCTGCCATGCTTCGACTTGAACTTCTGATCCGCATCCTTCTGCACCTGGCAGTGCCGGAGCAGCCCGTCGGTCCCGGGTCGGCAGGTGCAGTCGGCTCGTCCGGCGAAGCCTTCGCCAGCGACTTAGAACGGGTCCGAAAGCACTACACAATCAGCAACTGGTATTCATACGATCCCCAGAGGTCGAACCAGTCGAACCACCCTTGTTTTAATCGTCTTTACATGTCTTTACCGAACAACCGCACAAGTCTTATTAAGGATTTGACACTACCAAACCAGATCAACCATGTATATAAAAAGGAAAAGATCTTGGACCTCCAGGGATGAACCAGCAACGAGGCTTGTTGGTCTTGTTGGAACTGGACCTTTCTCTCAGACTTCTCAAGCAGCTCGGCCCAAATTGCACAGCTTGGTCCCCACGGTCTCCCGGCTGGGTCTGGCGCCACCTGGAGTCCGGTCGTCCAGTCCACCCGACGTCCAAACCACCGGAACGTGCGTGGCGCGCGCTGTCCGGGTTCACCTTCGTGAGCTTGTTCTGCTTGGTCATGGAGTCGTATTCCTCCGCCTGGGACCGCCACAGACCGCCACATCACACGGCTTTATGCGGCTAAGCCGGCGGCTAAGCCGGCGGCAGCACGGCTGAAAAAGCGACGCGATGAGGGTGGTAGAATTGGTGGTGTGGCAAAACGTCTTCTTTTCTACAAGGATTGGAGCCCGACTTCCCGCGCTGTGCCTCCTACAGAACGTGCTTTGAACGGCACGGTGGATGTGTCACGTGCAGTTGAGGGCGGGCCGTTGCCTCCTACAGACCGTTCACTCTGCCGTCCCTCATCCCGCTCTCCCTCGCCTTGGTCGCTTCGGTGGTCTCCGCCTGTGCCAGGCTGCGGCCGAAGTCGGATTCCACCACCTGCCGCCACGGCCGAATCGGCGGGGTGTTCCTCCCCCGCGAAGCTCGCGCCGCGTCCGGCGAAGCGGGGCCGACGCGGGGCCGACGGGCCGACGGGGTCCGGCGAATCAGGTCCGGCGCGTGGCTGTCGTGAAAAACCAGAGCCCTAGAAGTCGAACCACCATTGTTTCACTAAGGGTTTTGCACTACAAAACCAGATCAACCATTTATAAAATGGTCTTTGACTTCTAGGGAGAGGGAAACCGTGGAGCAAAGTGATGGAACAAAACGGTCTGCTTTGGGAACTGAACAGGTGTGACCTGTGCATGCGGTTTTTCCTGGTTGTACCGAGTCGAGTCTGACTGGTCGGGATCTTGGGTTTGTTCGGTCTTCTAATCCAGATTCCATCAGTCCAATTCTTGCGGTGCAGTCCATCAGTCTTGGCTTCGGAGTGCAGTCCACTACAGTCCATTGAGTTCACACTGCAAATGTTTAAACCCCGTGCCTCAAGCATGGCAAGGATTCCGCCGGAAGCCGCGGTGTCCCTGGGCCAAGCGGCGGCTCGAGGAAAAGCATCTCTCGACAAACACCCCTGTCGATGAGGTTCTTAAAATCTGGGTTGCTTGCTCACCCAGTCGGGGTGACGACCTCTGTAAAACCTGCACGTGATTGAGGAATCTCAAGCACCCCCCTATCAAAGCACCGCTCTTGTTTTCTAGGCCGGCAAGACTTGCTCTTTGGACCAAACCTTAGTACAACTAGCCTTCCGTCTGCGACTGGGTGGGGGAGTAGCCCAAGATCTTTTGATTTTTGTTTGCCCTGTCGGCTGGAAGTCATTGTCAAGACCACCAGCATGTGATGAAAAGGCGCTTAACTTTAGCTCTTGCAAATTGATTGCACATGATCATTCTAGCCAGTTTAGTATTTAGTCACAGAATTCGCATGCAAAGCCACGTACAGTAACACTTCACACCTCGCATCTTCTTTCACATCTGCAAGAGTCGTTTTCGCGACCACGCTTGGGCCGCTCGAAGCGAAAATTGTGCCACTCAAGAAAGCAACACCCCTCTTGAAACAGGATGATCAACCGATTCTGAGGCTTTTGGCATCCAATCTCTAGATGTGATGGTTGGGACTACTGAACACAGCGGTTGATCAGCACAGTCGATTGGGACGCATGGCAGTTGCACACGACTAGGCTGCAATCATGTACTTCAGGAGATCCACGACCTGGGATAGCTTGATACTTCCTGAAAAAGAACAATAGGCCTATATGAAAAGCATGGAAGAAAAAAAGTCTGTGTATACCTCAGGACAAGCTCTTTTTGCAGTGGAGCATGATCTTGTCCCTTCACAGTCTTAGCTCAAGCCACCCTGCTCATGAGCTTCTTTGGATCCCCTTGACCACGTAATCAAAGAACAAAATAAACTAAGCAAACTTCAAGCGACTCGGTTGGAGTACCCCCATTCGTTGTCGTACCAAGACACCTTGGATGCCAGGAGCACATCAGCAAAGCAGCTGGACACTGTTTTGTATGGCAATGTAGTGCTTTGAGTTTGTGTCCATCTACCCATTGGGCCAGGGGGAATCCCTAGTATAACACACACTCACATGCTGCTTGTTCTTGCCATTCGTCCTGAGGATTCGTTGATTCAAGAGTCTCCAGCCTGACCATCCGATCTCATCCCATCTCCACCTGACCGTCTGAATCTCTTTGAATTATATAGTGGATTGAGAGTAGATGGCGCAATTCGCCAAAACCGAGTGCTTTTTCTATGGATCCCCATCTCGGGTCGACCTCAGGTGCCCCCTGTGCCACCCACTCTGAAACCACCGCAGTATATAACCAGATCACCTTTGCCCCCTTGGAAAAACCGAGATCGATCGATCCGTTGGGTCGAACGGACGGACGGAGGTGAACCGACCGGGCTCCACCAGGTGCGTTCGGACCCACGTCGCCGTTCGGACGTGCCATGCAAGAAGAAGCGACGATCTTGAAGAAGCGCTTCTCACCCTTCAAGTTGTTCTGCAAAGTCGCCTCTGCAGTCCAACCAGGCAGACCCTCTGGTCAGTCGCCCGGACTCTCTGAGGTCGCATTTCAGTCGATGTTTTCTTTTTTTTTCTAAAGTGGCATGGGCAAGGATGGGTGCATGGTCATGCTGGTTGCTGCATGTTCTGACGTCTTTGCTTGCTCTCATCAACATCTCCAGATGTTTTATCTCCTTTGTTGGTGCATAGAAAGAACTCTAAACCCTTGCCCGTCTTCCCCTTATAAAGAAGCCGCGCTGTGTCCCGGTCCGTTCAGAACTGTCCTCTTTGGCAGAACTTCCAATGACTCATTTTACACCACTATATACTACACTTGGACTCTTACGGCTTTGGTCCTGGCCTTGGAATCGTAAATGGAGCTGTTCACGTTGTGGATGAAGTCCGAGGATACCAACTCCTCGTCCGTGTAGGAGAGGACACCCTTCATGTACGTCTCACTGGCCTAAAGAACAACGACAGCGCAAGAAACCCCAAGCGAATGCGGGAGGTGATGGATTGATTCATCAAAAGATTTGTATATAGTCTTGACAAGTCTTAGCCTGGCCACATGTCACATGTCTTAACCACGTCTTAACCGGTTAACTTAACCATTGTTTAAGTGTCAATCCACAAATGTGTTGATCCAAACAGGGGAAGAAGACCCTTTGGTAGAACATAGTAGAACGCAACATCTCGAATCGTCATCATGATAGAAAACAATATAGTTCACAGCACACATTATCTATATTGGAATGCTCACTCATCTCATCAAAGAAAACTGTTCATGATTCACCAAGTGAAATCCCAAATAGTCACCCAACAGACCACAGGTATTCATGGAACTCATGTCGTTTCTACCAGAAACGAAGAAGAGGTTTCTGTGGTTGAAACCTCCGTCACCCGCACCTTCTTCATGAGCGCATCGATCTCCTCAATGGAGGTGTCCTTCTCGGCGGTGAAGGTCAAGTCCACCACAGAGACATCCGGGGTGGGGACGCGGAAGGCCATACCTCGTGGGGACGCAGGAGGCCTTCCGAAGCATCATTGGGGTTGCGGGCAGTTCCACCGGGTCGCTGCAAAAAGAACGCATGGTTGTAGTACCCACGGGTCACCATCCATAGCTGGAGGTTGGGCCGTAGTTCACATCGCCCACAAACCGATACCTGTCTGGGAACGTTTCAAAAAGCGCTCCTCAGGTGTTCCTCCGGCAGCAGCAACAATAGCAAACCAGCAGCAAACCGCAGCACCAGATTGAAAGAACCATCGAAGGCAAAGCCTTTGGACATGTTGGTTTTTGATGCTGCGACAAAACTGCTGGCTGGAAACAAATTTTGTGGCAAACGGAACATTTGCACCACGCCGTCCCCTTGACCAAAGCATTTACAAAAACAGGTCCACACCGTCGTTTTTCAATACTGGTACCCTTCGTGACGGTGAACTATTCATCCATCCCGAACATCGGGGCACCCGGGTCTGGTCGCCCGGTCTTCACCAGGCCCCCGCACCTGTCAACTTGCCCTTGGTGCTGGGCAACACCTCGCCCACGGCCTTTGCGGCTCCCGTGGCCGATGGGATAATGTTGCAGGAGGCCGCACGGCCACCGCGCCAGTCCTTGGCAGAGACGCCATCCACCGTCTTCTGGGTGGCAGTGTAGGAATGGATGGTGGTCATCAAGCCTCAGCATGTGCGAAACCTGCGAAACCTGGGGTGTTGTTCGGATCGGAATCATAGGATCGGAATCTGCTTGGTCAGATCGGAATCATAGGATCGGACTCTGCTTGGTCAGATCGGAATCATACGATCGGAATCGGGCGCGTACTATAGGCAACACCATCCCGACCATCCCGACCGTCATCCTGACTCTCATCCATCCCGA